TGGGTCTCTCTCTTTCTCGCTCTCTTTAGGCCTGGGTCTCTCTCTCTGGGCCTGGGTCTCTCTCTCTCTCTCTCTCTCTTTAGGCCTGGGTCTCTCTCTCTCTCTCTCTCTCCCCCCCCTCAGGCCGTCTCTCTCTCTCTCTCTTTGGGCCTGGGTCTCTCCCTCTCTCCCCCCAGGCCGTCTCTCTCTCTCTCTCACTCTCTGGGCCTGGGTCTCTCTCTCTCTCTCTCACTCTCTGGGCCTGGGTCTCTCGCTGGGCTTGGGTCTGTCTAGACAATGGGGCTGAAAGGTTTTCACGATAATCACTCAATTCCTGTTTCTTTCTGCAGCACGTGGACTGCCTGGACATGACTGCAATCCGTGACACAAGGATCGGAAAATACGCCAAAGTCCCAAAGGTAAGATCTGGGGCCTGAGCTCTGGTACTAACCCCCCCCCACCCTCACCGACGCCCCCTCCACAAAGATGGGGAGCTGCCACCTACTGGCTGATGCTGCCCTTACACTCCCTACACTTTGTTGGCAGCAGATATACTGAGAAAGAGGTTAGATCCTCCCTGTTTTCAGTGTCTTTACTCCCCAGACCTTGCAGAGGTGGGTGCACAGTGGCATACGGTCCTGTGGGAGTTGCCCTGGGAGTCCTTAACATTGATTCTGCACCCCATGAGGTCTCATGGCTTCAGGTTGAACATGGGCAAGGAAACCTCCTGCTGATTACCATGTCCGGACGCCCTTGGCTGATCCTCCATGTTGAACAAAACTTAGAGGAAGAACTGGAGTAACCTCTGGGTGGGGGACATCAAATCTGTCACCTCAGTAGCACCTTTGTGATGTAAGGTGATGATTTGTGTAAGTATCTTTATTTTACAGTTTGGATTTTGAACCAGTGGCATGTGGGTTTTGGTCTTTGTTTATGAGGTAGTTTACTTGGCAGTATTTCTGAAGCCATGGTTTTTTAAAAATCCAGTATGAGAGTAAGAGAATTCCTGGGTTTTAATGGGAATTTGTTTGCACTGGGAGAGTTTCTGAATGGAACAAGTAAACATTGAGGAGCATTAGTTGGCTTTCTGTTGAGAAGGATTAGTTTTTTTTTGCTTATGAGAAAATCCCAAGGCTTGGAAAACTATTCAAGTTCTGAAAAAGGGTCACTGGACCCGAAACGTTAACTCTGCTTTCTCTCCACGGATGCTGCCAGACATGATGAGTTTTTCCAGCAATTTCTGTTTTTGTTTCTGATTTTCAACATCTGCTGTTCTTTCAGTTTTGTTTTCTTGGAAAGTTCTTGTTTTTAGGTTTCCAGAATTCCTGATGGAATTTAGAAAACAGTTACTCACAGAGAAAGGAGTTAGTTAAGATCTGTAAAGAAATAGGTTACCTCAGTGTGAGGATTTTAGTTTGAAAGTGTTTGGCAGGAACCCTGCAGGTGTCATTTGAAGTGGAGAAAGTCTAAGCTCACTTACACAATCGATCAAGGAAGAGACTATCAGACTCTCATGGAAGCGATAGTTCAGTCAACACAACAGACGTGATAGAGACAGGAATTCTCTCTGGTGTTTGAGCACTGTAAAGGAAAGCTGTCGGGATAGATGGGATTACATTTTTACTAATGTATTTAAAAACTGTTCAAGTTGTATTATTATGTGTAAATAATTTGGTTTATTCTATTTTATCGCCTTTTCAATTGCATGATAAACTTCTGTTTTATTGTTAAAAACAAATCTGCAGCATTGTGTATTGCCAAGGCTTTGCAGCACCTTTGTGGTATAAGGCGTGTGATTTGTACATGTATCTTTATTTTAGAGTTTGGATTTTGAAAGGGTGGCATGTGGGTTTAGTGATTCACTTGGCAATATTTCTGAAACCATGACTTATAAAAATCCGGAATGAGAGTGAGAGAATTCCTGAGATATGCAGCCCAAAGATGTGCAGGTTAGGTGGGTTGGCCATGCTAAATTGCCCATAGTGCCCAGGGATGTTTAAGTTAGGTGGGTTAGACACGAGGAAAATGCAGGGGTAGGGGAATGGGTCAGAGTGGATGCTCTTTGGAGGGGCGGTGTGGACTTGTTGGGCCAAATGGCCTGTTTCCACACTGCAGGGATTCTATGGTTCATTCTATGGTTCAAATGAAGCAAAGGTGGATGAAGGATAAAAAGTTAGGGTCTGTCATGTACTGTCTGGAAATGTGGTGGAGTCTGGTTCAATTGCATCATTCAAGAGGGGCTTGGATAGAAATGGTGGGCAGGGATGTGGAGAAAAGACAAATTGGTCCTAGGGGATAGACCCAGCACAGGGACAATGGGATGAATGGCCTCCTTCAACAATTCAGTGTGATTGTGATTTAGTGACAGATCACCTTGTTAAATTTTTAAAAATAAAAATATCTGCGAAGCCAGATTTCAGACTGGGTCTAACTCGCGATGTTATAAAATCAGCAGGATTATTACTAACTAAGCCGATTGAATCCGAAAAGACGTATTGTCCTCACTAGTACGGTTCCCATGGCAGTCTTGGTAAGAGTGACCACTGGAGTTAGGCTTTGTGCAAATGAAGTCTAAGGATACAGAGGCCAAAACGTCAAAATCAGAGCAATCTATTTAATAAAATATAGTCAAGGGTATCCTGCTTCTTCTGTTCTTTTAATGTTTTTACACAGTCGCTTGTTCCATATGAGGTTCTGCGCAAGGAGGAAGGCTGAGACCTGACAGAGGATAACAGCACAGATTTACTAAGATGTTGAATTACAAACAGCAAGGCGCACTTGAAATAATCTCTCCGTCGAATAATAAACATCGTGGAGAAATAAAGATAGTTAAAATTATGAATCGATGGGACGGGATACACAGAAGCAGGCTATTTTCAGTAGTAGAGGCACTTAAAATGAGGGACTAGAGATACAACATTAAAATTAAGACATTTAGAACAGTGAGCAGGAGAGACATCCTCACAGAGATTTGTTGAAGTGATTTCCAGGATTAGTGACTGTGTGAGAAACTTGGTTAACGTTCCAGATCAGACTGGACAAGCGGGCGAAGGTTGGGGGGGGGGGGTCCTGAGTGAGGCCCTGTGGATGTGATGAGGAGTAATGGCTCACACTTATCAGGTAAACACCAAGACGTGGGTAATATAGGATAGACTGCACAAAAACAGGCCATTCAGCCCATCACTGCTTCTATGAGCCTCCTTTCACCTTGTCTTATCTGAATCTACCATCGTCACCTATTCTCCCCTAAAAACTTGTCAAATTTCTCTTTCAATAGATCGACAAAATTCATTTCACCCAGTTCCCTGTGTTGGGAATCTTCCACTTGCTGAGCGAAGATGGTCCTGTTAAAACAAAGACTGATTGGTTGTAAATGATACATATTCATAGAATCCCTACAGTGTGGAAACAGGCCCTTCGGCCCAAGTCCATGCCGAGGCTGGGTTTCCTCCAACTGAACTGGTCCTGTTGGCCTGCGTTTGGCCCAAGTCCCTCTGAACCCTTCCTATCCATGTAAGTGTCTTTTCAATGTTGTAACTGCATCTGCCGTTACCACTTCCTGTGGCAGCTCGCTCCACCTACACACCACCCTCTTGTGCTTTCTTGGTGAATTTAGCTGACGTTCAGCCAATTTATGGTGCGCGTGAGTTTCAAAGCATAGGCACAGAACACCACTGCACGGAGGCAACTTCTCGGTCTGAGTGACAGAGCTTTAGATAAATTCCACTAGCAAGCATAACTGAACGTTAGGAGCCTCATGTTTGCTTTATTCTCTCCCATTATTCTACAAGCGAAACTTACCTCCCTGCCCCTATCATCCAATCGACCACTTTCTGTCGTTTGGCACAAATTTCACATGTGGACAGGAGCAGGAATAAACAGATCTTTTTCTGTGTGACTAGTTCAAAGCTTGGACCCCACTTATTGGCGATTGTATTCATACGGGAGCTTTAGACAAGTAGTCATGTGGGAAGTTACACTCAGCAAGCTCCTGCAACAGTAATGTGAGAAATGTCAGATATTGCATTTTGGTGATAGATTGAGGAATATATTTGGGCCAGAGTGTGCAGAAAGCTCCCTGTGCTCTTTCACAGTAGTACCATGGGATTTGTTTATGTATTGGAGCATCATGGTGGCTCAGCAGTCAGCACTGGTGCCTCACAGATGCCCGGGACCTGGGTTCAATCCCACCCTCAGGTGGTTGTATGTGTGGGTTTCCTCCGGGTGCTCTGGTTTCCTCCCACAGTCCAAAGACGGGCAGGTTAGGTGGATTGGCCATGCTAAATTGCCCACAGTGTCCAGGGATGTGCAGGCTGGGTGGGTTTGCTGTGGGAAACACAGGGTTGGGGGGGCTGGGGTTTGGGTCTGGGCAGGATGCTCATCAGAGGGGTAGTGTGGAGCCAATGGGCTGAATGGCCTCTTGCCGTCCTGCAGGGATTCTGTGATTTTTTTTTAAACATTGATTTGAAAGCACAGACAAGGCCTCGGCTGAATATTGCACCCAGCAGAATGTTACCTGCGACAGTGCGGAAAACTTTCAGTCGAGTCTGGGAGACCCAGTCTGACTATCTGCGCGGTATTTTCTCCCTGGTGCCGGGAGCTTGAACAATTTGATTCAGACGGTGAGAATCCTTTGACTGAACCAGTTGCGAGCAAGGCTTGATGACAGGGTAAGCAAGTTGTTTGACCAGAATGCAAAACATCTGTCCCTAAAGGCATGGATCTGACTGGTCAGTGACGCTAACAAACATGCAAATACTGCAAACCAACAATCTGAAGCACTGACTGCACACGGCAGCAACACAAAGGGAGAGGCTCCAGCTGCAGGGTGGGCCTTTCGTACTTGGGCCGGACGTTTAAATATAGCACCGCGGTGTATGGCTTCGAATCAAAACTCTGCGCATCGACGGTGGCATCGGAAAATGGGAAGAGTTAGGAACAGGAAGAAAGAGAGACAGTCAGTACAGTCCGTCCCCAAACACAGGGTCAGTGAGTCTGTGTGTACACGGGGTCAGTCAGTCTGTGTGTACACAGGGTCAGTCAGTCTGTGTGTACACGGGGTCAGTCAGTCTGTGTACACAGGGTCAGTCAGTCTGTATACACAGGGTCAGTCAGTCTGTGTGTACACGGGGTCAGTCAGTCTGTATACACAGGGTCAGTCAGTCTGTGTGTACACAGGGTCAGTCAGCCTGTGTGTACACAGGGTTAGTCAGTCTGTGTGTACACAGGGTTAGTCAGTCTGTGTGTACACAGGGTCAGTCAGTGCGTACACAGGGTCAGTCAGTCTGTGTACACAGGGTCAGTCAGTCTGTGTGTACACGGGGTCAGTCAGTCTGTATACACAGGGTCAGTCAGTCTGTGTGTACACAGGGTCAGTCAGCCTGTGTGTACACAGGGTCAGTCAGCCTGTATACACAGG